AGATGTCGAACGCTGCCGAACGCGGAGGCCGATTGTGCCTCTTTGTCGCTCGTTCCGCGCTCTCGCTTGCACTTCAAGCCCTAAATGGAACGCCTCAGAGCGAGGTAACGCCGCATGAGTCATGTTTTTTCGTGCGTTCAGCCGGCTCCATCGAATTATAAGACGTTGTCACGTCAAAAACTGCGGTACCTTATTATTTTTACAATTGAGCGTATGATTAAACATGATCACTGTCTTAAGTCAGTTGTCTTGCTACACAGAATAAAATTGTGTACTTTTACACCAACATTTCTGGAACACCCTGTATGATGAAATAACGCTTTTGAATTGTCCAGAAGTTTTCGTTGAGTTTATCGACAAGTGTTTGTTTTGTAGGTTATCATTATTTATAGGTCGAATGAAGCTAGATATAATCATCCAGACTTATGGCCTTCGGCAAATTTCCCAACCCCTTGGCCTAATACTTTAAGTCCTGAAACCTTAATAGATAAATTAAACGAGGGACTAGTCACAAGGAATCCTACTTATGGATACGTTTCACAAGTCATTTTGACCCCTACAGTTTGGTTCGTTTGCAGGTACTTGTTAGGTAAGTTCGCATGCAATTTCGAGATTATTAATGTTTTTATACGATCTTTGAAAAAATTTTGTTTGAGCCTGTAGTTAAGGACCTGATGCGCAAAAAAAAGATGTCGTTCCAACATGTCGTCTGATACATCGGTTTTTAAGTAATTTAAAGTATTTTTTCTTACATGATCTAAAGGTGGGAACTGGGGCCATTTCGATATAAGGAGGGAAGGGGGAGAAATAGTAAAATATGTCGGTTTAACCTCTTGGTTTTGACGGTATAATTTACTTAAAATTACTCCATATTTTATGAAAAATAGTGGAGAAATTTTGGTCTGGCCAAGTTTCTTTTTGTTAGATCCAATTAGAGTTCATTTTTCGTTTTTATTATTCACGCACAGGAAAATGGCCCATAAATTATCTGATTCTTGATTTCAAATTCATAATTTTGACCTTCAGCCTTAGAATTCCACTTTTTCGGATCGAATTCTAGGTTTCATGACATACGTACGTTGTACGTAACCCTGAATTAATTTTGTATTAAAAATCGAAATTGTTTTCGTTGTCTAGAAGTTTTTAAAATTTTCAAATCATATCATCAAAATCGATATGATGAAGCTTTCAATATAAGATGATTTTTTAGGAAATTTAAAATCAAAATGTGTTTTACCACTGGACAAATATAAATTCAACTGGATAAACCTACAAAAGCCAGGCCCGAGCGGCGTTAATATAATAATATCCGATTTTGTTGAATTACAAGAGTATCAGTTCTGTAAGGATGTAATTAATCTAAATTTAAAATTACTGAAGGAAAGTATTATAGGTAATCAGACCGATAGTCATAATGTAATTAACTAATTCTCGGCCAGTAAATTTGTACAAAAATACTTATATGTCTGTAAAGTTTCTGTTGGTTAATTTTTTAAATAATACGAATTTTAGTAACATCTAAGTCGTACTTTAGTGTTTTATAGATAGACTTAGCAATTAATTATTGATATTGTAAGTGGTAATGCCTAATGTCTAATTTTTAAGCTCAAATATAAACTCTGCCACTATATCTACTTTTTACCCCATACTATTATGTAATCTGTTTATCGTATCTGTGATTATTATATTTATTTTAGTGAATTCGATAATAAATATTTTATTACTTTTATATTTTATTAAGGATGTAGGATTTTAGTTGTGTTGGATGAGTGCAAGAATTTAAACAGAATAGTTAGCAGTACGTTATAGCGTTGCCACTTTTCCTCTTTGAAGGATGTTAAAACTGACACATGTCAATATTTTAGGTTAAGATTAATTGACATATGTCAAAAAAATATATAAACGATTTGGCAACAGTGTTTGTCGCCATTTTGTTTATATGCAAGTAACGTCAAATTAAATACGCCCTATATCCTTATCCTGGAACGGGATAAGTCCTTTATATTTTTATAAAATATTGTATTATTATTCATTTAACAAATCATCTTGTATATGTCTTATACATGTATGCAGTAAACAAATATATTTTTTGTGTAAATGTTTCATAAATTTGCGTGATTTATCCCATTGCTACCGTTCACTAGTCTGCTATATTGCCCCCCTATTAAGGATGTTTGGGAGATACAATCGGAGACAAGAACACATAAAATTAGAAATTCGTGATTAAAAAAAAAGTAAAGTAAAAAAATTGGAATTTGACCAAAAACTTTGAATAAAATAAGAAATAACGAATAATATGGAAAATTTTTAACTGACTTTTGGCAGTGAATATGCCTTGATTTCAACTTCGAAACAAAAAAATATTTAGTTTCAATCTCTATTAATAATGAGCGTAAAACTTTTTAATATGTTTAAATAATAATTAAAACTTTAAAATTGCATTTATTTCAGACAATTATAAATATTATCACTATATTATCAAGTAAAAACGAGATTTTCAGCTAATTTTTCATTTTTTCCTCGATAACCATTTAGTGAATTTGAATAACCTTACGCTAAAGTGATTCTCCAGAGTTCAAGTTACTTATTATAAAAGTTTGAAATTTCTGGTAGCTTTTTTTCTGTTAATAAAAATAAATTTAATCTGTTCGGTCAACGAATCCATAAAATGACGTGTAAAATTACAATTTTTTAAAATTTCAATAACTTTTTAACGGTTTAATGAATAGATTTGTAACTTTTACAGGAGTTTTAGAATAGAATGAGGAACGTTCTTCCAAATTTTTATTTGTCTCGTAGCATTTTGACATACCTCCCAAACATCCTTAAATAGAAGAATTATTTAAAAATGCGAACGAGTTCAACTGATTACAGGGTTCGACTTAATGTGTCTGACAGTGAGTGATGTACAGGTAAGTTAAACCTTGTGTATTTTAATGTGGTGGTTTAAACAAATTATAAAATTTTGAAATGATGAGGTACAGAGCTTTCGGCGCATGAGTCAAATGAGCACTTGTCCTGTATTTTTTTTTTATTTGCATCTCATTATTTTATAAATTCGCGAGGCGGTAGACGAAAATGCAAGAGAAAGTCAAGTTGTATCTAAGAGAATGGTGGGCGTTTTTCCCACGTTCTCCGCTACTCAAACACCCACCAGTCGATGCGCCCGACAAGGAAACGTGATTTGGTCGAGACGAATAAAAGAAAGACAAAATCGTACCAAACTTTACATATTAATGAAGTCGCACTCTAACTAGGTAACGGGACACTATAGCTCTACCTTTTCTATTAAACTTCTGTCGCTGAAGCTGAAATTTATACGTTTGCGGAGATGATACTGTTAAAACTCGATTTCCATAGCGAAGGTCCACTCTCCTATTCTGAGCTAATTTTCGCATTTCTCTAAACCTAGAACATCTCACATCTTTAAGAATTTGCGAACAGTAATCTAATCTAGATGCACCTCTACTCTTAATTCCCGCTTCTGTCTCTAATATGTCCCTGACTAGTCCTTCATGCCTGAGAAGATGTCCTACCAACCTGTCTGGCCTATTTTATATTGACTTCCACAGAGTCCTCCGTCCTCCTATTCTTTCTAATACCTTTTCATTTCTAATCCTCTCTATCCACCATATCCTCACCATTCGCCTGTAACACCATATCTCGAACGCGTCAAATTCTTTTCTGTCGCGCCCAACGTCAGTGTTTCGCACCCGTACAGCGCCGTGCTCCAAAGGTACACCTTTAACAATCTTTTTCGAATTTGTAAATTAATCGTTCGCGAGCATAGAAGTGACTTGTTTTTAATGAAAGCGACTCGACCCTGCGCTATCCTCTGCTTTATATCGCTATCACTCCTTCCGTCCTGACTTATCTGACTTCCTAAATATCTAAAATCAGCCACTTATTCTAATTTTTCGTCTCCTATATTCGCTCTTTCCCTAGTTTTTCTTCCCTTGCATACCAGTGTTTTTGTTTTACTTTTATTTATTTTCATACAATACTGTTTTGTCAATACCGCTTCCATTTTATTTAAAGCTATCTGTAACTCCTCCTTGGTAGATGATAATACTGCTGTATCATCAGCAAATCTGAGCATACTAATCTTTTGTCCCTCTATATCTATCCCTGTAGTTGCACTGTCTTTAATGACATTGATCGCGTCTTCGATTTATATCCTTACACATAATTTCCAATATAATCAAGAAACGTAATCCATTGTGCTATATGCCTATAGAGACACCCATCTGATCTAGTGATCTTTAATCTAGACCATAGCTTAGCATTTAAGGGAATACTGGTTCAAGTAACTTTCCACCCTTAGTCAAAGTTTTTCTGTGATTTCCTTGGACCATTAAGGTACAAGCTGGACTTGTAATCCATAAATAATCTTTAACTTTTCTTCAATTCGTTCGTCGCATCCGTCATGTTTGGCATTAACTGAAATCATCAGATTTATAGTTTCGGTAATTCAACGACCAAACCAGGTAAGTGCAGATAAGTCGATTAATAAAGGTATTTGGAGATTTCATAGAGGTAGAAGCTTATTTCAGATTTCCTCGCCTTATAACTAGAGACAGATCTCTAGATAAACTGTAAACATTGTTTAAGGGCTTATATAGAGTTATTTTATTTTACTAAAGATGAGAAGTAACCTTTGAACTGATAAATGATAAAAGGCATTGAATTGTTTATTACGTATCTTCCAAGAAACCCCTCAAAATTTTGTGTTGTTAATTATAAATCTCTTTCTATTCGTTACCATGATGTTATATTTGTACGTGTAGACGTACATTTAATGAAAAATGTTGTTTACATCTATTCGTCTTGGTTGGTGCACACGGAAATGCGGTTCCAAGAGAGAAAGTTAATTCTAATTAGAGGTTTACTAATTAAACTTTGAATTTTATTAGGTTGGTAAGTATTCTTATTGGACCGAGGAATGTGTTCCACCTTATTTGTACAGGTAAATTGTTATTTTGTTACAACGTGCTGAAGAAATGTGTACCATTTTTTTTAATCTGACTTAGAGGGTTTAGTATACCAGGAATTTTTATGGATATGCATATGTCTGAAAATTGAGGTGTATTAAAAGTGGTTTAGAAATTGAAAATTAACTCACTTTGACTAGTTTTACACGAGTAAAAAATTCAACGTTCTCATTAATTAACATAAAAAAATTGGAGTAGAAAATTAATTTAACCAATAAGTTTTGCAAGTACCAGAAACGTCATTCACATTTGAATCTTGACAAAAAGCGTTAAAAAAATAATTAAACAAAGATTTTAAAATTCAGAACTGAGACAGACGGACAGAGAATCAACACAGCAATCCTATAAGAGATTCTGAGGTAGGGAATCCTGATTAGTAACCCTTTTTAGTTAAATGTTTAAGTGGAAGAAACATTTCAAAATCCAGAATTCGACTAGTAGGTTTTGACGAAGGTGCAGTCAATAAAGTATCTAATCGTAAAGAGTTTAGTATTTTATCCTAACAATCGGAACCCTAATTACTTGACACGAAAGGAAAATTTCAAAATCGGGGTCTGAAAAAAATTGATCTTGACAATGAAAGGATTAACGTAGTAATCCTATAAGACATATAGTTTCATTCTGAGGTACGAAACCTTGACTAATAACCGTTTCTAATCAAATGTTTCTGTGGAACAAGCATTTTAAAATCTAGAAATCTAGGACTGGGCAAATGAATCCTTATGTAGAAAGGATCACCAAAGTAATCCCGTAAGGATTTAGCTTTTTCATTCTGAGATTCTGATAAATAAAACTGTTTTTAATTAAATATTGCTTTGAAGTCTATAAAATGGATCGTTTCAGAGAAACAATAGACATGGTAATCGTAAAAAAATTTAGTTTTTCATTTTGAGGTACGCAACTCTGATCAATAACTACTATTAATTAAACATTACCATAAAAGTAAAGTTTCAAAATCCAGAATTGAGAAAATTAACTACATGTTGCATTGAAATAAAAAAATAAAAAATTCAAGATGCAGAATTGAGAAAATGGTTCTTAACATAAAGAGGATCAAAATAGCAGCCCTATAAGGGTTCTGTTTCTTCATCCTGTTGTGTGGAACCTTAATTTATAACCATTTTTAATTAAATATTGCTAGCATGCAAAAGAAAGAAAACATTTATGATCTAGAACTGAGAAAATATATCGTATAAGGAATCGGCAAAATCGATCCTATAGGATTTATGTTTCTTAATTTTATTGTACAGAGCCCTAATTAATAAACCTTCTTAATTAACTATTGCGAACATGCGTATGAAAAAAAATCAATATCCAGAACTAAGAAAATGTATCTCAACGTAGAAAGGATCAACATAGGGTTGTGTTTCTTCATTATGTTTTACGAAACATTAATTAATAACTATTTTTAATTAAATATTGCGAGCATGTAAATGAAAGAAAACATTCATGATCCAGAGAAAATGGATCCTAACGTATATAAGATCAGCATAAGCTATCCTACAGGGGTTCTGTTTCTTCATTTCGTTGTACAGTGCTCTAATTGATAACCCTTCCTAAGGCAAATCAACTAAACTAAACGGCAATGTTCACATTATATGGAGTTTTTCGTAACAACGACTTTTTAATTATAGAAAGTTTAAATTGTAATTACTTTCTTAAGCATGATATAGTATGTATATTTCTTGCAAAGTTTCACTTTTGTAAATGCGTTTGAATTGCTTTGACGATGCAAATCGTACAATTGGGTTATTATTAACATAAATAACAACTTTTGTTTGAAAAAAAAATCGCTACTGTCAAAACTAAAAGAATAAATGCTGAAATACTCCTGGAGACTTCAATGCTGGGTCAAGCAACGAATCCCTTCTTTTTGTGTGTATGTTAGGCAATATCTTCGCCGATTGTAAACCGATTTTAATGATTCTTTTTTTATTGGTTGGGCAATACGTCAAGGGTGCTTCCATATAAATTTGATGGAACTATTCCACCCCTAAGGGTAGGAAATGAGGGGATGTTTTCCGTTTTTAACATTTTAGAAGTATCAAAATAAATATTGCGAGCATGGGGCATGGAAAAAATTCAGGATCCAAGTAGCAATCCTATAAGGGTTCTGTTCCTTCATTTTGTTGTACGGAACCTGAATTGATAACCATTTTGAATTAAATATTGCGAGCGTGCATATGAAATAAAACCTTCATGGCCCATAACTGAGAAAGGATCTGCATGACAATCCTTTAAGGGTTCTATTTCTTCATTCTCTTATAAAGAACCCTAATTAATAATCACCCGTGAAAGAAATTTTTCATAGTCCACGAATTTTGTGCTACATGGACCTACTCATATCTTAATAGGAACTCTGTCTCTTCATATATACTTAGTGACTCTATGTATGTTCAAGTACATAAAGTCTGATGTGTGCGCCACCCTGTATTTATATTTATATACACATAAAAGACAAAATCAAGTATTCACACTACTTAATGTTAGCCAGATTGACCCAGTGGTGAAAGCCGCTATTTTATCGTTGCGGTAAGGCTGTTACCCATCGACATAGACATACTTTTTCTTAAGGTAAAACAACTGACTGTAGAAACCTCATTTCTCAATCCAGTCGAGGTAGTAGGCTGCGGAAATTCATTGAGTGACTGTGGTGGTCACGAACAACAGCATGCTCGCACGGCACTCACGCACGACAATTCGTTCTGATAAGAGTGGTCACCGGTGCCCCTAAGTGTATCGAACTTTACGGTTTGTACAGTTTTTTTTCGAGGTGGTTACTTTCAAAAAACGCGCGTAGGAACTTTACTTTTTTTTTGCGGAAGACGATGAGTTAGTTTCTCGTGTTTTTTGGAAAAAGTGCGTTTCTTGAGGAGTAATGTGAAAACTTAAAAGCAAAATGATCTCACTTCTGCTCATTCTGGTAAGTTTTTTTTTAATCATTTGATAGCTTTTTATCTTTAGCAGATAGATATAGATATAATCCAATGTAGTTGAGGTGACTTCAACTGATAGCAGGTCGTTTATAGTAACGATTTTTTTTACTAATATTTGTTGTTTTAAGGCAATTTTAACAATTTGTTTTGCACTTTTTCTTCGTCAAGCTTCGGTTTACTTTCATTGGAGGTATTTTTAGTATTTCGTATTATCTTTTTGAAAAACTAATTCACCTAAGTGCCATACATTGTCAAATGGTTGCGAATATTTATTTTGTAGTATCTATCGTCCAATTTTTATTAGGTGTTGTTTTCCTTGTTCTAATATATTAACAGAAATACCGGAATTACTCAAGAGTAGACTTGGAATAAATGAGGGGATGGCATTTTTCACATTTTTTCGATTAAAAATTAAACATTTGGCCTAATGAAATAAACAATTCATAGGTTTATATGAATCCCTGACCTGTCACAATTAAACGACTCCGATTGGGTTCCTTTTTATAATGAAAAACGCATTGTAAAAATTGGCAAATATTGTCTAACTGTGACACACAGAAAGACGTGCATAAATTGATATCTCGCTGTATTGGTTCCTTTTTACCTTTCTGTTAAAACACCCTACGTATTTTAAAACAGTGGAAAAAATCACTGATGAATCAGTTGTTATTCAGATAAATTAGTGACGATATTGCACTGATATTTCACAAAATATTCCACCGTGAAATCGGCATTTGAGATATGAGTTTTAATGGTTTCTTTATAACAATTCAATTGCGAACAACTGAAAAACAAAATTTTCTTGGCTCCAAACTTTTAAAGTATTGCAGAATAAAATCAAAATCATAATCAAACTAAGAAATAGTAGCTTGTAAATTCCTTGACGAATAATTTAGCGTTTTCTTCATTCATTTCAAGCGAAGATGTAGACGAAAAATTAAATAAGAAAAGTTATTTGTTGTATAAACCGTTAAATAAACAAACGAAACCGATACCTAATACATACAAAACAATTTTTCCCAAATTTCTGAGGAAATTTTTTCAGATTTTTCCAACTTAGTCTGGAAAATTAAATGTTTTTAAACCCTGATTATCCAAATACATTGATATAGGCGGCTTTACTTCACTTATTTAAATATAATTTTCAATTAATTAACTCAGTTGATATTCACTAATTTGCAGTGCTATTATTGAAGGTTACAGAATGTTCATTTAAAATTAGAGAAACCATTAATTATTCATTTTTAGAGAGTACTTGGTAGGGTCGAAGTATGTATAGAGTGTTGAATACTTTTGTGTATTTAATTCGTTTAATTAATTTTTAAAAGCAATGTGTTATAATTCTCGCCCTTTCCCCAGAATATTTCGATACTATAAATACTATTCAGAACTTTGAACTAATGAAAATTTTTATGATGAAAATACTGACGATGAAACAAAATTGCAACGACAGTCTTAGTCCGAAACGTATCCCCATTGTGATCACATCATATCTCGGTCCCTTTTCTATTGCATCTTTTTCCGTCCACTAGAAATTTTTTTTTAACGTATTCGTGTTTACTGTTGAAATGTTTTATTTTTAATTAATATTCACTGATTTGCAGTGGCATTATGTGTACTTGAAATTAGTGAAAATCCGCCGATTAATTTTTAGCGAGTTCGTAACAGAGAATGGCTGATTCGTAAAAGAGAGTTAATCATTATGAGTGTGATTTATGAGGCAAATCAACTATACTAAACGGTAATGTTCACGTTATATGGTGTTTTTCGTAACAACGAGTTTTTAATTATAGAAAGTTTACACTGTAATAACTTTCCTAATCTTGATATATGTATATTTCCCGCAAAGTTTCACTTTTGTAAACGCGTTTGAATTGTTTTGACGATACAAATCATACAGTTGGGTTATTATTAACATAAATGACAACTTTTGTTTGAAAAAAAAAATCGTTAGTGTCAAAACTAAAAGAATAAATGCTGAAATACTCCTGNGGCGGCTTTACTTCACTTATTTAAATATAATTTTCAATTAATTAACTCAGTTGATATTCACTAATTTGCAGTGCTATTATTGAAGGTTACAGAATGTTCATTTAAAATTAGAGAAACCATTAATTATTCATTTTTAGAGAGTACTTGGTAGGGTCGAAGTATGTATAGAGTGTTGAATACTTTTGTGTATTTAATTCGTTTAATTAATTTTTAAAAGCAATGTGTTATAATTCTCGCCCTTTCCCCAGAATATTTCGATACTATAAATACTATTCAGAACTTTGAACTAATGAAAATTTTTATGATGAAAATACTGACGATGAAACAAAATTGCAACGACAGTCTTAGTCCGAAACGTATCCCCATTGTGATCACATCATATCTCGGTCCCTTTTCTATTGCATCTTTTTCCGTCCACTAGAAATTTTTTTTTAACGTATTCGTGTTTACTGTTGAAATGTTTTATTTTTAATTAATATTCACTGATTTGCAGTGGCATTATGTGTACTTGAAATTAGTGAAAATCCGCCGATTAATTTTTAGCGAGTTCGTAACAGAGAATGGCTGATTCGTAAAAGAGAGTTAATCATTATGAGTGTGATTTATGAGGCAAATCAACTATACTAAACGGTAATGTTCACGTTATATGGTGTTTTTCGTAACAACGAGTTTTTAATTATAGAAAGTTTACACTGTAATAACTTTCCTAATCTTGATATATGTATATTTCCCGCAAAGTTTCACTTTTGTAAACGCGTTTGAATTGTTTTGACGATACAAATCATACAGTTGGGTTATTATTAACATAAATGACAACTTTTGTTTGAAAAAAAAAATCGTTAGTGTCAAAACTAAAAGAATAAATGCTGAAATACTCCTGGAGACTTCAACGCTGGGTCAAGCAACGAATCCCTTCTTTTTGTGTGTATGTTAGGCAATATCTTCGCCGATTGTGAACCGATTTTAATGATTCTTTTTTTATTGGATGGGCCATACCTCAAGGGTGCTTCCATACAAATTTGAAGTAAATATTCCATCCCTAAGGGTGGGAAATGAGGGGTTGTTTCCCGTTTTTAACGTTTTAATAGTTTTAAAATCGGTTTTTATACAAGTATAGGCATTAAAAATTACGATTTTTTTATTTTTCGGTTTTATCGAAATTTCCTCATATTTCCCACAAGATTTTTATGGCAAACAAAGAATGTTTTAAAAAAACAATAAGTATTTAAATAATTTTTTAAAGAGATAGACCGGATACCCTGGTTGAATTCGGTAGGTATTTTAGGATAATAACGTCGGGTACTCGACAGTGTCGGGTAAGTCTACTAGGGACAAAAGAATAAACAAACACCAGCAATAATTATTCAGTAAATATATACTGGGAAGAAAAAATTATTAGAAAGAATAGGAAAACAGAGGACTCAATGAAAGTCAATAAGAAATTGGCGAGATAGGTTGGTAGGAGATCTTTTAGTCAGAGACATATTAGAGGCAGAAACGGGAGTTAGGAGGGGTACAGGTTGACCTAGTTAAGGATATGGGTTGTTCTAGTTTTAGGGAAGATTAGCTCAGGATAGGAAAGAGTGGAGGTACGTGTCCAACCAGTCTTAGGACTGACAACCTTATGATGATGAATTATTACAATTAAATTTGTAATTTCAACTAAAATTCCTAGTAAATTTATTTCTGCTGGGATTTTGTTTTTGCAAGTTCGGATCCAAATTGCAATTTTTATTATTTTCGGTTACGAAGCAACGGGCTAGTGAGATAAATTGTAAATATCGCTTTAATATTTAGGTAAATTTTCGTTTTTGATTATCTCCGTGTTACTAGAAATTGCTATTTCGAAGTAAGCAGATAACGCTTACAGAATGTATATTTATTTATTATTTTACAAAATACCTTCACCAAAATGCATAATTAATATTTTTAGCGTTATTTTCGTTGGAAGTCACCAGTTGACCGTCCCACTTTCCTCCAATGCTTCAAAAAACAAAAAACATTTCCGTTACGTAATTTTACCCTAGACATGACTGCATTAGGCAGATAATGCAGGTGTTATGAAATTCTGAAACCATAAAAAGAATTATTGTCTGTAAACTTACCTATATTTCCCTATGAATCCATAATATTATGACATAACAATTTTAATAAATTTTTATGGCTCATGAAGTCGTGTTTTATCTTTCGGTAGTGTATAGGTACAATTAGCGCTTTAAAAATTTCCTATAACGGTGTTGACAACACCGAGATTTATTTCTACACCTTTAAAAAGCCATAATGGGTTAAAACACATTTTATGCCTTGCCATATGTACGATGTGCCGCTCCTTAGGTCCACGACTTCTTCATTTGAAGCTTCATTGCTTCCAAAGCGTTCGATTGTCTATTTATTTGTACAAAGTGAGATAGAGAGAGAATTAATGGGAGAATAATGGGACCAAAGACCTACTCCCGTTTCTTGCGTCTTGTGCGCTCCCCGCGCGCGAAATCCAACGGTAAAACACAAACCATTTTGACTATGTACCAGCCTACTAAGATCTATGTACACAATTACCTACCTGTTTAATATTTGTTAATTTTCTTTTGTTTCGTTTTTTGTTCTCTTTTTCAGACGGTCAGATTCAATTGTTCGATTGTAGTGTTAGGCTTAGGTTGTTTTATTGTTGTTAATTAAAACAAATGAGTGCTAGTGAAATAAAAAGCGTGTGAAATAAGGGTATCAAAATGGCAACTGTTTCTTGGGCTGTATACATTAAGTTTTTATTTTTTATGCCCTGAAATCCTATTTTAACTGGACTATCGTACAAAGTTGTGATTGCTTCTAACTGGAGATTTGCAAAATGGTTTTTTAAAAGTATTTATATTTAAAATGCAAATACTTTTTTGATTTGTTATTTCAAATGTAAAATACAAAATAGATTTCCCTTTTGTATTTGAAATGTTAAATGCAAAATACGTATTTTCAAAATATTTTTTTGTAGTACCTATTTAAT